CCCCCCGACAGGGCAACGCATTACAGTTGTAATATTGGTCATGATAAATCTAATTTTTTTATTTATTTTTTTTGTTGATAGTGTGCCTGATAAAATATTTATCGACTTCTAAAAATAGTATATACAGGTAACGCATACCTTATGGCATAAGAAAAAATAAATAATAGGACTAAAGAAGGAAAAAAAAATGAGAATTACGCTATTTTCTTTAAATAATTAAACTTTATTTTTAACAAATGTTCTTACCCTGTTAGTCCGATGATATGCGACCATGAACACACAATAAAGAAATATCCAATAATCCAGTTTTGATTCACAATCACAACACAATTTATTTGTTGTTTTTTTTAATAACAGTTCATCTACTCGTAGCGTTATTTGTTGCTTCCTATGTGAGTGCACGCCGAGAGCTCGCGACCGTCGCCGAGTGAGTCAAACGGGGGAGTGACTAGAACAACCCACTAGCACGCCATGTGTGGCTTTTTTTCCCCCCTCTATTTTGATTCTTCTCTCTCCCCCCCCTCTCTTCCTCCTAAGAGCCCTTGGTACGAAGCGCTTGAAGTAGCAGCAGGCGCACGGAACAGCGAGGATACAAGTCGCCCGTTACCGGTTCGCGTTCTCTCCCCTTGCTTGCGCTAAGGTAGGAAGCGAAGCTAGCGGGAACCGAGGCGACTTTTTCTGGTTGGTTTTGTTGTGATATTTAAAAGAAAAAAAAAAAAGGGGGAGGGGGGGGGGGGCGGAAGGCTTAGGACCGGCTAGGTGAAAAGTAGGCGGAGCGAAGGATGTAACAACCAGCCACGGAATAACATAACAGCTGTCACGGGGAGCGACTACCGGCGGTAAGGGAGAGACGAATGGGAAGTATTGAATAATTGCAGTTGGTTAGATGTTAAAGGGGGAAAAAAAAATAAATATAAGAGACGGGGGTGTTGATCTGACTCTGGTTGATAAAGTCCCAAAATGTTGTTAGCTGTCTGAACTGATGGGTACACTAAAATGTGTACACTGTTGTACAGTATAGTGCTGGCTTGTGTGTTGTATATATTGTACACTTACAGTTTATGAACTATAATGTCCATGATGATGAGTAAAACGCATACTAAGCATATCATAGGTCATAGATGCAATATAATATAGTATGGTATTATTATGATATAGATTAAAAATTTAAAAGCAAGGCTACACGGTGTAGTGGCAGTGGTTCGCAGAACCAGAACCGGTCCTCGTGGCCTCAGTTAAATTACGCATCAAGTAAACCTATGTTTAAAAAAATAACACCAATAGAATAAATTGGGCACCGGACCCTGCTGGTGTACGGGCGGTCCGCCAAGCTAAAAGTTTGAGAATCACTGTATCTTCATTAGAAATATAGGGGGGGGGGGGATGATGTTCACTGAGGCCAGAGGGCTTTTACATCTTGGATATTTTATCTGGCAAATCAATGAAAATGCTGGACTTATTAAACAACAAATGAGTGCTGTTTTACCCCACCCCCCTCCCACTCCTCCCCTAACACACACGGGGGGGGGGAACTATATCTTTAAATACCTTACAAAGATTGAGTAAAAAGTATAGATAGAAAGATCCCTCATCTTTTTCTCTCTCGTTAAAGCTATGTTTAGTTTAGGATTCAATAAAAAAAAAATTAAAATTAAAAAAAGGACAGAATAATTAAAAGATCGTATCGGCAGAACGCCTTCTTCGGCAGAAAATACAAAACATGAAATACAACAAATTATTTGAATTCCGAAGCGTGTCCAGATGACTATGTTGCTGTCTCAGATGAATATGTTACTGTCTCAGGTGAATATGTTACTGTCTCAGGTGAATATGTCGCTGTCTCAGGTGAATATGTCGCTGTCTCGGATGAATATGTCGCTGTCTCGGATGAATATGTTGCTGTCTCAGATGAATATGTTACTGTCTCAGGTGAATATGTCGCTGTCTCAGATGAATATGTCGCTGTCTTGGATGAATATGTCGCTGTCTCAGATGAATATGTCGCTGTCTCAGATGAATATGT